GCCCGGGCATGGCAGAACCCAGCTTTAACAGACTCTGTCTAATTCTAAAGCTCAGACTTTAATTCTGCATGGTACTGTCCAACACCACTGGGATACAAACTGCCTGAATGACCCAGTCACAGTCAATTAGATCCACAGATTGTGTGAGAGGGATGCGCACTGTGCTTCGAAATTCCTCTGCCACTGCCTTAGCTTTGTACCAGTTAAGCAAATCATTTGACCTCTCTGAATTTATTCTCCTCACATACAATGAAAAGAATCATAAATGATACCACCTTAGGCCCCTTCCTATTCTAGAATAGCTTTCTGATTCTAAGAGGATTAAATCCGGAGAAAGAATTCATCTTAAAGGAATCCTTGATGACTAAATCCCTCAACCTGGGGAACTGAGACAAGGCTTCCTATGAAATCACTTCTGATAGACATAATGAAATAACTGGGAGCTATGATAAATTATAGTCATTTCTACAAATAATAATTTCCTTAAAATATTTAAAATCAGCATAATTCTCAGACACGGGTTATTTTCCATAAATACTAAAGAAGCGATGCCAAGCAGCACTCCGAGCGACTCCACCCTCTGTCTGCTACAGATCTGTCCTTTGTGGAGAGTGATACCCACTTCTCTCTGTGCTTTGTGCAACCCAAAGCTGAAACCATGGGAAAGAATGTCAGGACTCAAAACAAATGTGTCTCTCAGAAAGTTACATCATGCAAAATACAAAATAAGGACAGGCCATTTCTGTTCGTTCAAACAGAAACGATGAATGCTTACAAAATGTTTTTCGATGTAGTCAAGTAAGAGCATTAAATCTAAGAAGGAAGGCAAAGGAAATCCAAAATCACTGACCCCAAATTCTTCTTGGTACCCTCCCTGATGGTTATTCTAGAACTCCATGCTCTAATAATACCCGAGTTCTCTTTTCTTTGAAAAACGCCACTGTTCGGGCCTGTTTCAGCAACAGACGGATGGGAACATGGTAGGCAGATGAGGCGCTGGTCAGCTCAGTGCTAACAATTCAGCAACATCAGGAAAGAGTAAACCACTAGAGTGCTGCTGGGTGGAGGAGAGTGCGTGGAGGCGTGGGGATCCTGGACACAGAGACCGGAAACCAGAAGGCTGTGCGAGTCTACTAGGAACGGAGTGTGACAGCTAGCAGGAGATCTAGGGGAGAGCATCCTCCTCTCAGAAATGGCAGGGCTGAGCAGTGGGACAGGCTGGGATTCCGTGTCAGGCTTATCCTGGGGGCCCTGTGGTGGGTACCTACCCTGGGGCCAGAGAAAGCTCTGGAGAAGCAGATAAATGTCCCTTATTACAGGGTAGGGAGGCCTAACTGCTGTGCGTGTGCACCTGGGAGGAGGGGTCTGAGGCCCAACAGTGGAATACGAGGAGATTCCAGAGGCAGGAGCCACACACACAGCCTGGGCAGTGGAGAGGTCCAGAGTCGGCACCAGATCTCCACCTGCTCAGCCCGAAGAGATAGGAGACCTTGTGAACAGGTGCCTGAAGACACCGTGAGCATTTCCTTGGGGTGTCCGATGGAGGAATCTGGTGGCAGAGGAGCATTATGAGTTGGAAACAGGGTTAGGGGCTGCACTGGCACACACTGCCCCTTGGTACTCTCCCAGGGGCCCATCCAGGACTCCCTGTAGGTAGCAAGACCCAGGGTGCCGAAGCCTTCTACGCAGTGGCACAGCAGCGCACAGACCCCGTGCACACCCTCTGTGTCCCCCAATCTCTCCACGTCGTTTATAACCCTAACACAGTGTAAACCCAGGGTACCAGTTGTTGTACAGCAGTGTTTACAGTACTGAGGAGGAATCACAAGTAAATCTGCACATGTCGTACACAGACGCAACTTCCTTTCTCTAACGTTTTCAGTCTGCAGTTGGCTGAACTCCTGGGTGCAGAACCTGGGCACGGGGAGGACTGGCCGTGGAGGTGGTGACAGGTGACCAGGCATGGAGAGGAGCTAGGGACACGTGCAGAGGAGGAAACAGCACAAGGAGCCCTGGAAATCATGACAGGACAGCCAGGAAAAGGAGCCCTGGGAGGAGAGAGGAGCCAGCACCCAGTAACCCCAAAGTAGAAGGGGCGCAGGGATGGATGCATTCTGAGGATGAGGTGATGCTGAAGGGTTCCTGAAAGGTCAGGCTGAGAAACAGCTTCCAGCCAGCGCCTGCCCTGTGCTGCAGAGAATCCAATGTTAATGCCCGTCAGGGCTGGAAGATGGCACCCCTCGGGCAGCAGTTAAAGAAAACACCGAGATAGCAGGCAGCGCTGCCACGTTGAAAGGAAGGAACAACGTGACAAAGTACAGAAGTTTTCTCCTGCAAATCCTCATCTTCTCTCACATGAAATTAAGCATGCAGATGAGGTGGTGAAACACAGCTCTATGACATGGCCACAGACAGCCTTCGGGGCCAAGGGGAGTCCCAAGAGGAGAGGACTTGGGTACCCTGTTCGGACTTGAGGTGCATTAACAACAGGAAGGCATCCTGAGCCTGTGTCAATAATGACTGTGCCAGGATGTACACACACCCTTCCGGGGCCTCAGGGACAGGGTTTTCCTTAAGTAATATAAGTACAACAGCAGCAAAATCCTGCCTCACGCCTTATGGGGGGCTGAACTGAGCTCTTCTGTCTTCACATAATTCTTTAGTTAAACCCTGTCAGTACAAAAGGCTTCTCACAAGTATTACAAAGAAAGCATAGCACTCACGATAAGATTTTTTAATATAATTGCTTTATAAGCTTACTCTGTCCTAAGAAATAGTAATAACCAGCAATGCACGAAAATGGTACCATGAGGAATATTGAATATTAAAGTATATTACTGTCTACTGCAGCTGTTCCCTTAAATCACTTTCATTCACATGAATTCTTCTGTAGAAGTAAATGCAACACAGATATTTCAGTGGGATTCCAATTTCATGTCTTTTACAGGGCAACAGGGAATAAAATCAGTGCTTTCATCGAAACATTTCAGGCTGCTGCAGGTTTGCTTTGCTGCTGTTTGGGGAACAGGAAGGAATAATCTGAAGCAGAGGGGAGCACAGCATGGATCTCCAGGGCACTTCTGACACTTTGGGGCCCCTACGACTCTGTGCTTTCTGTGAGGGCAAACTTGGAGAAGGCATTATCAATTTTAGCTCATTTTTAAAGTGACTAAGGAGATGATCTTTTGCCCCATAGACTGTAAGTCCAGCACAGGAAGCAGCTGCATCTGTTTTCTGCCATGCTGCACTTCTGGGACTGAACACATGTTCTCAAGTATAGTAGATGCTCAGCAAACATCTGTCAAGTGGATAGCATCTTCCAGAATGGGAAAGAATTCAGTTCTCCACGTAAAAACGATCTAATATGGAAAAAAATGTGTCTTGGAAACTTACTGCTGAGCAGTCTTCATCCAGAACTTCACAGGACTTGTTAAAAGATCAGTTAATGATTTGAGAACCAAAAACAGTGCTATGTGAGGACATCAGTTAAAGGTGGGGACGTAGCTCAGTGGTAAAGCACTTGCTGAGGATGTGTGACTCCCTGCGTTCAATCCCTAGCAGCAGCAGCAGCGCACCACACACAAACACACGCACACACACACACAGAGAAAGAGTAAGTTCTCAGTCCAGTGAGCTTCTATATCAATCTTACGTGAATGGATGTCTGTCCTGTACTTTTCCTTTCTGCAGTGGTGAGTAAGTTTACACTGCTCTCTAGCAGACCATGTTGCCTCACACCTGTCACATAGCACTCTAGGAGGATGAGGCAGGAGGGTTGCCAAGTTCAAGCCTTGCCTGGGCAACCTAACAAATTAGCAAGACCCTGCCTCAAAATTTAAAAAAAGAAAGGGCTAGGGATGTAGCTCAATCCCCAGTAGGGAGGCGGGGGGGAAAAAAGCATATATTGTTATTTGTTGTAGAAATTCGTTTGTTGTTAGCTCATTCTATCTTTGGCAAGTATAGCAATGTAAACATAAATCAATGGTCCTTTCAAAATCAGTCCCCTCTAATCGACTCCCCACTGAGTCCAAGCATGCATTTGCTTTGCACAGTGTGATTGTGTTACAGGCTGAATGGCCATCACAGGACTTTACATATTAAATGAGATTTAAAATTAACAATACAACAATGTATGTATAATCTGCTAGTAATTTTATCTTCTTTGATTTTAAAATGTGGAGGTCTGAGCATCAACAAAAACAACAAAACTGCGCTATTCAGCAAGCTCTTCTCTGCAGCCTGACTTATTCTTATAGATGATACATATCTATAATAAATCCTCAGAATGTAGGTTTTCAGGATTCCAATGCTCATTACCAAAGCTATGTATCATTTACTTTTCACTTTCAAATGCTGTTTTCACCTATTCGGAAAAGTTGATGATCTCACCCTTCCCGAGGGGCACCAGGGTCTTCTGCTGGCTCATAATCAATCCCACACTGCACCAAACTTAGTTTCAGGGCAGGGGATCAAAGCCAGGGCCCCGTGCACTAGGCCAGGGCTCCACCAGCTATAGTGCCATTTAGAACCAATCTCAGGACCACACAACACCAAGCTCGGAAACGGCGGTCCCTAGGGAGGAGACAGCCCAGGAGGAGAAGCGGCTCCGCACTGACAGGAGAAAGTCCTGGGAGAACCCAGGCTGCTCCCACTTCACATGAACAAGTGCGAAGCAGTTCCTCCTCCCCAGGATGGCTGCATCCCGGGCCCAGTGCTGACAGGAGACAGCTGAGGAGGAGGGCAGGCTTGGGTGCAAGAGAGCTCAGCTGCTGCACTGTCACACCCAGTGCTACCTGCTGAGCTGGCACCAGGAATATTAGAACAGACTTAGAAACACCCTGGTCACACAGACAGCAAACTGAAAGCCAGTGGCCCTCAGGAAGCCAAGACAACACGGGGCTGCCCGGTGATGTCCAGGCACTGACCTTTTGCCCCAAGGTTAGGGCAGAAATGAGACTGGATTTCCAGGCGCAGTGGCTCAGGGATTTTGGATCTTTTACCTCGTGGCACTTGCTTATTCGCCTCGCCACAATGAGCTGAATCATCCCACGCTTGTTTCCTTCGGTGGACATAGATCTTCTCAGGGTTTCCATGGCATCTTGGTTTGTCTTGCCCAACAGGGATTCTCCATTTACTGCTATCAGCTGATCGTTCACCCGAAGCCTCCCATCCTGGGAAGAAAACAGGTAAAAGAAGTGCTGTTAAATAGTCTTCTATAAAAGAAATTCCCTTCCTTTTAGTTAAAAAAATTAAAACAAAGACAGGACAAAAGGGGGTTGGGGAGCATTAATCCGAATGGATTATGCCCAATTGAACACTAACATAATAAAATCTAAGCAGCCATTGTGGCCTGTGTCTATTTTAATCATTTATACATTTGTAAATCAAGTCATTACCATAATCTGTTTACCAAACAGCATACTAATTCAAAGGACACAAAGTGATTACTTTCTTGCTTCCAGAAAAATCCACAGAGGTTATTTACAATCCAAGACCGGAGAAAGCTGAAGACAATTAGACAACTACAGCCAAGTGGCCCCTTAACAGTCAGCCAGGAAGCTTCTCCAGGCTGAGAAACGGAACTAGTGACAGACAGGCGGGAAGGAGGGGAAACATTAACCTGTACTACACGCAGGACCTATGCTAAGTCTCCGCATGGATCATCTTCCGGTGCCTAGCTTGGCTAAGGACTCCTTTCCTGAATGAGCATCCCTAAGATTTCCCCTGCATGTTGCTCAGGGCTGGGGCATTGTGAAGAAGCCAGAAAACATCTGAGTGTGCTTTAAAAACAGTGATAAGATGGGATTTAAACATTTCAGTCAGTGGGCGTAGGCTTATAAAGCTGACGTGTGCTTACTTTAGATGCTGCTCCTCCGTTAATAATGGACTTGACAAAGATCCCCAGATCCGCGTGGTTCTCTTTGGACCGGTTACCTTTGACACTGACACCCAGACCGGCCGACCCTGAGTCATTGAGCGGAACTTCAAACGTCAGAAACTCCCTGGTGCCATCGGGCGTGAGAACAACGTCGTCCTCTTCGGCTTTCTAACAAGGAACAAAATTGCACAGCACATTTCATTCCAATGTCTCTCCCCCAGCTAATGGCTTTAAAGACCTGCTAATGAGCAGCTCTTGGATCCTAACAGACAGATCTCCACCCCGCTCAGCAAAGAGATCCATGCAATAGTGCTCTGCACCTCCAGATGATTTCTAGAACCAGCTGCTCATATTTCCATGAGACATGAAACAAACCTACACCCAATTCTTAGAAGTACGGGGGGAAACGCAGCAGAAGGACTCATGATATTGGAGATTCCTAGAATGTGAGATTATTTGGTTGTGGGTCTGTTTATATATTCTAAACCACAAAAGAGAAACAGTAATGAGAATGTAAATAAATAAGCATGATTTGCTTTCCCACTGGTTGTCATTAGAAAGTCTCAGTGTTATTAATGCTTTAATGCTCCCTACTGGTGTATGTTTTTAAATCTCAATAACAAATCCCAATGGTAAGAAGTCAATAGCAAAAGCAATTCAGGTTTGGAGACACTGAAGAGTTTTAACCTCCAACATCCTTGAGACAAAGGAGAGAGAAACCACATCCGGGAAACATCTTCTAGAATATTGTATCTACATAATACAATGAATACCATTGAAGCACTGTTGTTGTATTAGTTATATATCAAAATTTAACTTCATGATTATAGTCACCAAGTACAAAAGGAGCCTGCTTCAAAATACAACACATGTGGAATACGCAAATTCTTGTTTACTCGCCTGAAAAAAGAGAGGAAGAAAGGAAAGCTTAACGTGTACCCCAGCGAAATGCAGCCAGGGACACATCTGGTCCCTAAGCAGTGCCCTGCCCCAGAAGAGGAGGCAGCCTCCTCTGCAGCCCCCTCCCGTCCAGACGGCCACCTCCACAGGAGACAGCCCCCTGCTTGGCCTCTGCTTTCCAGCTGCATAATGGACACGCGGAGGATCGGAACCCAATGCCTCATCCAGTCCTGTGACCTGTTCTGCTCTTGTGGCAATTTTGAACTATTTCTCCACCAGGATCTACTCAGATGGAAGATGGAAAAGATAGGCAGAAGGGAGACTCAGGACATCGTGATTTTAAAATTGTACTTGGAAGAAAACTTCAACTTCAGGACACAAAGTTACCCAAGGTTACCCACACAGTATTTGTACTCATTCTCTTTGCTCCCTGCACATGTTCCTTTGGGTTTTTTTCTTCCAGGCCCATCATACTCAAATCCCTTAGAGACAGTTGATAAGAGAAAAAGAAAAAAAGACAGTTGATAAGATAAAGGGGAGCAACCATCATCTAATTAAGATGAAGAAATAGATTCAAAGGGATCAAAAATGTTTTTAGACAAAGTATCTCAGGTTACCGAACTCAAAGAATACCTCCCAGATCATATATGCATCCCCAAAGACAGACTACAGCGCTTCTCTCCCAAGTGCCCGCACTTTGTTTTCTCAGCGTGTACACCTGTCTTTGCTGAGTAAAATCTGTCCATGCCTCTTACTGATGCACCCTGAAAGTCCTTTGTGTGACCCTACTTGGAAAGTTGGGCTAAGTCCCTATCTCTCCTCTCCTTCAGGGGACTCCCAGGGTCCTGTCCACTGACAGGGGGTACACAGTCAGAATGGAATAGAATGTGTGTTTCAAAGACACTGCTATAACACAATTTTCACTTACACATAAAAGTTGGCTATTGTAGCCGATGTAAAATAGGTTGACTACTTGTTTTCTGTACATCCCACCAGATTTTTGAGATTCTAGAAGAGTCAAACTCAACAAAATAATAATAATTTTTAAAGGAACTTGGGGATTTCATATGTAATCTCAGATGTCTCTGCTTAAAGAATTTTTGGAAGTCTACAATCATATACATGTCTATGCACTTCCAAAAATTATATAATTGTTTTAAATCATCATAAAACAACAATATACTATTTTTAAATCTTCAGATCCATAAGTTGGATTTGTGAAGTGACATTTCTAATTTACTAATATTCAGTGTTAACATTTTACAAGCATCTTTTGAGGGCAGGGGTCGGTTCCAGGCAGGGTCATAGCCTGAGCCCACAGTAGGTAGGAAGTTCCTAGTAGGAAGGTCCTTCCTTCTCGAAGGACCCCGATAGTCAAGGATAAGACACACTTCAATAAAATAAAACTGTTCATATTTAGAAAAGGATATCACTAGTGAATACAAAATAAGAACAAGTTGAGAAGCTACAGGGCAATAGCTAGGTTTACGTAAAGTAAAATACATTTTAACATTAAAGTCCAAAGAATGCCTAAACTTGCACATTATACTTTCTTGTATTTAAAATATTCTCAGAGAACAAGTATAATTCAAATGGAGCTCATGTATTGGAGATAAATAAGGATCAAATGCTCATTTCATTATCATACAGAAGTACCATTAGATGCATGTTTTGTTCTCTACTCACCAATGTTCAATTAACCTTTTTTATTTTTATCCATATGGTTCAAAACAATTAAAGAGTACTAAATCATGACTCTGTGTGAACTAATGGCATTACCTCAGTGCAAAATCTGTTATAAATATGTACCACCCTGGGCCTGGGGATGGAGCTCAGTAGTAGAGCACTTGCCTAGCATGAGTGAGGCTGTGGGTTTTAGCCCAGCACCACAAAAAATAAATGAATCAATGAATGAAAACTTATAGGTAAATTTTGCTAACTGAAATACTAAATAGCATCGATATAATCAAAATGAACTACTGTCCCACTCTACTCGAAATCTGAAAGGTAAATTCATTTTGCTGATCAGTATTTTTATATGGAAAAAGGTACGTTGACAAGACTCCATGTCTGGGGTGTTCCTCGTGTTTACCTGCCTCAGACCCAGGGGGCTCTTAACTGTCCCTCCCTGATTCGGTTCTGCAGTTGTCTTTTTCGTGTTTAGTGATTTTGACATTTCCATAACATTTTACAGAGACTTAAGTTCTCATTTTTTCCTACTTGAAAAATGAAGCCCAGGAGCTGACTCAATATATGAAGACAAATTCTAATCAAGGAGGAATCACTTCCTGGCTGGCGTCCTCTTAAGGATGACGCACTTTGTGTGGGATTCTGTCATTTATCATTAAGACTGAAAGGTACAGGGGTCATTTTCCTCGATCCTGTCAAGGCAAGAGCATGATTAGCATTAACAACACTGAAGTGCGACAGTGGACACTGCATTTGCTATTTCATGATTACTCCATCTGGTTCTTGACTTATGACTGAAATTAACACTTAGAACTTAATTCTCTGCAGAATGTTAAAACTTGGGTCTTCGAAAACCATTTCAAATGTTGCATTAATCTGAGAACTTTCACATCACCCTAGTAGGGCAATCTCTACATTCTGCCATAAAGTATGAAGCTCATTTTCTATCACTTTATTACTCGCTTTGGATGCTGTACCTTATCAATGGTTTCTTGAGTGTTTTTCTGCAAAAATCCATAAATGTGTTGTCCCCAACCTGCGCAAGTTGTATGCTTGGTCCTATAACGCAAGCACATGCGCCACATCCATGTATTACAGCTTCAGTGGTTTTTTCCCATCAATCCAACCCATCAGTTCTTTCTTTACCCAATTCCCTACTGGCATTTTGTCTTTTATACCCAGAAAACAAAGGGCATCTTGCTAACCATCTTAGAAAGTGGAAGTGGACATTATAAAGGCTATTTTACTTCCCCATTACCCTCAGAAAAGCAGAACAGATGCACGTGTCTATCTGTAGTGAGACGGAAAGGTAGTGCAATGGCCTCCCTGATGGCCCAGCGGGGTCCCCGTAGCCATAAGGTGCACTGCCCACCAATGGCTCTGAATCTGGAGTCACCCTGAGGCTCAGAATGGGAAATGATAGCTGATCGTGCTAAAGAGCAGGAGAGTAAGCACACAAAAAGTACTATGAACCTCCGGATGTAAAGATTTTGATAAGAATATATAAAATACTGTGGAGAGGCAACAGAAACATAGTCTGTACACACACGAGACCATAAAATGATGAAAATGAAAGCAGGATTTGATTCGGGGCTCTACAAAGATATAAACGACTCAGCAAATATCAGTCCATTACAATTCACCTGTTTCTATTCTGACATCTATGCTACTCCACTGAATTAATAATGAAAGGATGAACTTCTCCCATACTGAACGGAAGGAACATGAACAAAGCCACTCATTAAAGACAGGTGGGCCAGGAAGTGCCTCTGTGTACAAGGTTCAAATCTTACTTGCAATGAAAGAGAGCAAATTAATCAACAAAAATTAACAACTTTTTGAAGTTTTTCTTTAATGACAAAAATAACAATGTAGGTATGGTGAATGAGCACATTTTTACGCTGCTGGCAAATATATAAGAAAGTACAATTTTTTTTCAAGCTCTTGCTAGGTAGCTGAGGCTGGCACTAATTTGTGGTCCTCATGCCTCAGCCTTAGTGTGCTGAATTACAGACATATGCCGCCACAGCTGGCTAAAAAAGTCTCTACAGTTTGCATATTGCCTAATCTAAAAATGCTGCTGTTAGTAGGATTATTGCCTAAAAAACTGTGATCATGTACAAAGATTTATCTGTGAGGATGCTGGTTTAATTAAACAGATAAAAATTGAAAATAACACATACGTGACACACAGTAAATTAAGATATACCTATACAGTGGAATACCAATCAGCTAATGAAGTGTCTTCAAAAAATACTTAATGAGAATAGAAGAATAATTACATCTATGAAATTAGGTTTTACCCTGTGAATTTTCATAATTTCAGTATGTCACCCACAATAAGCCTCAACAGTCTATTTTTATAAATTATTTAATGTCTGTCTTCCTATGCCAGTAGAAGCTTCACAAGCAAAGGATTTATGACACTCATTAGTTGTGTCTGGGACATTTATTAGCTACAGGATGAGTATCTGGACATCATATATATTAACTACATAGGTAAAAAAGAAAATGATGGAAAAAATACACCAAAATGACAACACTGGAGTCACAGAACAGCAGGTGAGTTTAATTTTCTC